TGAGACAGACTAGAAGGCCATCTGTCAGGAATGCTTTGTGTGCTTCTGCATGGCAGGGGGTGAGGTCTGACCTCACAACCTCTGAGGATGCCTGCCATAGATGAAAGTGAAATGTCAGGAGAAAATGCTTCTGGAACATAGCCAAACAACCTGGAAAACTCACAGCAATCCATTAGGAAGAATGTTCTGATGACAAGAGCTGTTCGACAGCGGAACAAGCAGTCTGGAGTGTGGCAGAGTCTCCCTCTTGTTGTTTTGAGACAGACTGGAAGGCCATCTGTCGGGAATGCTTTAACTGTGTGCTTCTGCATGGCAGGGGGTGAGGTCTGACCTCACAACCTCTGAGGATGCTTGCCATAGATGAAGGCAAAATGTCAGGAGAAAATGCTTCTGGAACATAGCCATACAACCTGGAAAACTCACAGCAACCCATTAGGAAGAATGTTCTGATGACAAGAGCTGTTCGACACCGGAAAAAGCAGTCTGGAGTGTGGCAGAGTTTCCCTCTTGTTGTTTTGAGACAGACTGAAAGGCGCATCTGTCGGGAATGCGCCTTCCAGTCTGTCTCAAAACAACAAGAGGGAAACTCTACACTCCAGACTGCTTTTTCCGCTGTCGAACAGCTCTTGGAATGTGTCCAGAGGAGGGCAACTCAAATGATCCAGGGTCTGGAGAACAAGCCCTATGAGGAGCAGCTTAGGAGCTGGGCATGTTTAGCCTGAAGAAGAGAAGGCTGAGAGGAGATATGATAGCCATGTATAAATATGTGAGAGGAAGCCACAGGGAGGAGGGAGCAAGCTTGTTTTCTGCTTCCTTGGAGACTAGGATGCGGAACAATGGCTTCAAACTACAAGAGGAGATTCCATCTGAACATTAGGAAGAACTTCCTGACTGTGAGAGCTGTTCAGCAATGGAACTCTCTGCCCCGGAGTGTGGTGGAGGCTCCTTCTTTGGAAGCTTTAAACAGAGGCTGGATGGCCATCTGTCAGGGGTGCTTTGAATGCAATATTCCTGCTTCTGGGCAGGGGGTTGGACTGGATGGCCCATGAGGTCTCTTCCAACTCTATGATTCTATTATTCTAATTGTGTGCTTCTGCATGGCAGAGGGTGAGGTCTGACCTCCCAACCTCTGGGGATGCCTGCCATAGATGCAGGTGAAATGTCAGGAGAAAATGCTTCAAGAACATGGCCATACAACCCGGAAAACTCACAGCAACCCATTAGGAAGAATGTTCTGATGACAAGACAGTGGAACAAGCAGCCTGGAGTGTGGCAGAGTCTCCTTCTTGTTGTTTTGAAACAGACTGGAAGGCCATCTGTCAGGAATGCTTTGTGTGCTTCTGCATGGCAGGAGGTAGAACAGAAAGGCACTTGTGGTCTTTTCCCAATTGAATGATAGGATAAAAGGCAAGCTACTTGACCTTGAGCTAGTCCATTGGTTCATCTGACTCATTATTTCAATACTAATAGACTGCAGCTCTTTATAGTTTCAGGCAATACTCACAAATAGTTCTGCCTGGAGATTCTGGGCTCTGATCTGCAGTCAAAGCATGCCCTTCAGAAGGAAGTGAAACACCCTCCCATTCATCTGTTTTAACCTTCAAAATGTAAAAAAAGAAAAGTAATAAAAGCCCCACAACAAAAGCTATGCCTGTTCAAACAGATCCTATGGTAATGTACCATCTGTGATAGGCTTTCTTTATATTAAATAATTAAAAATGAATGGAACACCAGATATGCAAATAATAATTTCTCTAGCTTGGTTTTTACTCTGAAAATATACAAACTGGGATATAATAATGGCAATACTTCAAATTATCACTGGGCTAGCAGGTGGAAATGCTCCACTTTGTTGATACACAACATAAATCATAATAATACAAAAATTCGCCTCCCCTGCTATATTCATATGTGCCTAAACCGATGAAAGAAAACAGAAGGGTTATCCATGTATAAATTTTCGTTTTATTTTATCACTCATCACGGTTGTAAAAGAACACTGATTTGCCCTGGAATCCCTTTCTGGCAAATGTTATTGAAAATATAACAATAAGTATCTCACAGAAGAAACTATGGCATGCCTCTCCCACTTTTATTATTGATTCTCACTGGGGGCTCCAAACATAAACATACAGATACAATATGCATTATACATTAAAATCAATAAAATCATAAAAACCATAACATATCAAAACATTAAATAAACTGTTAAAAACCTAACAAAAAGACACATAATCCAGGAGCCATTACAATCATATTACAATCTTATTATTATTACAATATTACTTTCTAATTATTACAATACATATTACATACTCAGTGGGATAAAGCACTGAGCTACTGAACTTGCTGACCAAAAGGTTGGTGGTTCAAATCCGGGGAGTGGGGTGAGTTCCCGCTGTTAGGCCCAGCTTCCTCCAACCTAGTAGTTCGAAAACATGCAAATGTGAGTAGATCAATAGGTAGATCTGGATATTATATTATATTATGCAGTCATGCCTCCCACATGACCTTGGAGGTGTCTATGGACAACGTCGACTCTTCGGCTTAGAAATTGAGATGAGCACCAACCCTCAGAGTCGGGCACGACTGGACTTAATGTCAGAGGACAACCTTTACCTTTAAGATATAAGACTCTCGACGGGAAGGTAACGGCGCTCCATGCAGTCATGCCGGCCACATAACCTTGGAGGTGCCTAAGGACAATGCCGGCTCTTTGGTTTAGAAACGGAGATGAGCACCAACCCCTAGAGTCAGACACGACTATATTTAATATCAGGAGAAACCTTTACCTTTACCTACAATATTCCTGACAGGAAGGTAACAGCACTCCATCAGTCATGCCGACCACATGACCTTGGAGGTGTCTAAGGACAATGCCGGCTCTTTGGCTTAGAAATGGAGATGAGCACTAGAGTTGGACACGACTGGACTTCATGTCAAGGGGAAACCTTTACCTTTACTATCAGATATTATAGAAAAACTCCTTGGAAAGGAAGGCCCGCACAATGACACAGGAAAGGACGCTTTCCATACAGGAACATGTCTTTTCTACCTCATCACACTAGAGAAAAAAATAACTTAAAATCTGGTTTTTGACTTCTGCACAGGGCCAATATAATCCTTGTCTTCTTTTGTCATTAGCAATGTGCCCTGGAGATATTGCAAGTGGTGTTTAATAGCACCTGGAAACAAAGGAAACACTGGGATAGAAAAACGATAAGATGGTGCCTTCCATGCAATACAGTGCTTGGGAAAGTGGATTTTGTTTTTGAGGATCTTTGGTCTAAGTAGCTTTTCTAGAGTCTGTTTAACATTAAAGAGGATGTTTCCAAATGTAGGTGCTGTAATAGAAAAAGGTTATTTTTGGAATAGGTACTGCCAAACATTGACCGTCCAATGGCAATATGAGCCATGATTTTAATGCCTATCTGGAGCCCTCGGTGGTGCAGTGGGTTAAACCCCTGTGCCGGCAGGACTGAAGACCGACAGGTCGCAGGTTCAAATCCGGGGAGAGGATGAGCTCCCTCTATCAGCTCCAGCTCCTCATGCGGGGACATGAGAGAAGCCTCCCACAAGGATGATAAAACCATCAAATCATCCGGGCGTCCCCTGGGCAACGTCCTTGCAGACGGCCAATTCTCTCACACCAGAAGCGACTTGCAGTTTCTCAAGTCACTCCTGACACGACAAAAAAAAAAAGCCTTTCTGTTGTGACATTTGCAAATGTTAATTATAGGTCAATTATGAAAATGTCTATTTTAACCAGTATATCTTCTGAAATGCATGTATGTATATATTTCTTCCTGAATCATATATTTTTAAAGAAGCAATTCTGAAAGGCAGGGAAACGCTATAACTGCCTCATCACACTAGAGCAATGGTTCTTAGCCAGTGGGTTCACAGGTGTTTTGGGCTACAACTCCCAGAAATCCCAGCCCATTTACTAGTTGTTAGGATTTCTGGGAGTTGATGGCCAAAACATCTGGGGACCATTGCAGTAGAGGATGAATGGGAAGTCTGACTTGGCCACGGTAGTCCACACTCTGGTTACATCCCGTTTAGACTACTGCAACGCTCTCTACGTGGGGTTGCCTTTGAAGACGGCCCGGAAGCTTCAATTGGTCCAACGTGCGGCAGCCATGATACTAACAGGAGCGGGACGCAGGGAGCATACAACCCCCCTGTTGTGCCAACTCCACTGGCTACCGATTTGCTACCGGGCTCAATTCAAAGTGCTGGCGTTGACCTTTAAAGCCCTAAACGGTTCCGGCCCAAGCTACCTTTCCGACCGCATCTCGGCCTATGAACCCACCAGGACTTTGAGATCTTCCGGGGAGGCCCTGCTCTCGATCCCGCCAGCTTCACAAGCACGGCTGGCGGGGACGAGAGACAGGGCCTTCTCGGTGGCTCCTCGGCTGTGGAACACCCTTCCTGTGGACATTAGACTGGCTCCTTCCCTGATGATATTCCGTAGAAATTAAAGACTTGGTTGTTCAAGAAGGCGTTCGAACAAGAAGTGCAATGATTGGTAATGACGATAGGAAATGGAACAACGGAAAATGATACTGGATTGTGATTAGGACGATGAGACGACTTTGAATGGTTTCGTAGTAATGATGTTTTGTATAATGCTGGACTGTGAATTGTATTTTTACACTGTGTTTTGAATGTGTTTTTTCTATGTTGTACACCGCTGTGAGTCGCCCCCGGGCTGAGAACAGCGGTATAGAAGCAAAGTAAGTAAATAAATAAATGCACTTTTAATCCAGTTGCTGCCTCCTGCAGAATTCTGGGGTTTGTAGTTTAGGGAGGTTGTTATTGGCTCCTCCCTAAACTACACAAACCCCAGAATTCTCTATTGTGAAGAAGCCCAGTGGTTGTTACATAGTGCGATATATTATCTCTGTCCTTCTGAAAGAGATACACTGCTCTCTTGGAGACTTTGGCCTCGGGCTGGGAGGCGTGCCTATCGGCTCCCTGCCTGGCCCGGCCTCCTTCCTTCCTTTCTCTTCCTCCTCCTCCTTTCCTATGGCGCTGTGCGGGCTGCGGGTGCTGGAGCTGGCGGGCCTGGCCCCGGCTCCTCTCTGCGGCCTCCTCTTGGCCGACTTCGGGGCCCAAGTGGTGCGCGTGGACCGCTGCCCGCGCGCCTCCTCCTCGGCCACGGACGTGCAGGCCCGGGGAAAGCGCGCGCTGGCCGTGGACCTGAAGCAGCCTCGCGGCGCCGCTCTCCTCCGGAGGCTCTGCAGAAAGGCCGACGTCCTCATCGAGCCCTTCCGCCCAGGTGCCCCCTCCCTCCCTCCCTCTCTCTCCCCGCAGCCCCTTTAAGCGCTCTAGGCAATAGTATGCAAGCTGGGTCCGGAAGCTCTGTGCTTTACGCTCTTTCCGCTTCGCTCCTTCGGAAGCGCTGTTTGCGCAACTCTCAACGGAACACATATAATATAGAAAGAATGTAAGAATTCTGTAATGGTAAAACCCTAACCCTTACCCGAGCCCAAGGTAAAAAGGTCAAGGTTGTCCCCTGACATTCAGTCATGTCTGACTCTGGGGTGTGGTGCTCATCTCCATTTCTAAGCTGAAGAGCCGGCGTTGTCCATAGACACCTCCAAGGTCATGTGGCCGGCATGACTGCATGGAGCGCCTGTTACCTTCCCGCCGGAGTGGTACCTATTGATCTACTCACATTTGCATGTTTTTGAACTGCTAGGTTGGCAGAAGCTAGAGCTGACAGCAGAAGCTCACGCCGCTCCCCAGAATCGAACCTTGTGACCTTTCGGTCAACAAGCTCAGCAGCTCAGCGCTTTAACCCACTGCGCCACCGGGGGCTCCAGCCCAAAGCCTTACCCTAAACCAGGGATCCTCAAACTTCTTAAAGAGAGGGCCAGGTCACAGTCCCTCAAATTGTTGGAGGGCTGGATTATAATTTGGAAAAAAACATGAATGAATTCCTATGCACACTGCACATATCTTATTTGTAGTGCAAAACACACTTAAAAACAATACAATAATTAAAATGAATAACAATTTTAACAAATATAAACTTATTAGTATTTCAATGGGAAGTGTGGGCCTGCTTTTGGCTGATGAGATAGGATTGTTGTTGTTGTTGTGTGCTTTCAAGTCATTTCAGACTTAGGTTGACTCTGAGCGAGGGCCAGGTAAACAACCTTGGAGGGCCATATCCGGCCCCCGGGCCTTAGTTTGAGGACCCCTGCCCTAAACCTTTCCCTAACCCTAAACCTGACCCTTAACCCTAATCCTAACCCAAACCCGAAACCTTACTCTAAATCTAAGCCTAACCCTACCCCAAACCCTAAACCTTACCCTAAATTTTATCCTAACCCTCCCCTCCTTTATAACCTTCCACCAAATTGAAGTATATTCCTGCCCTCACTGTGCCGCCCCCCCTTCCCTTTTTCACAAACGCCGTTGTGGAATGTGCGTACCGCTCAGAGCTTCTGGACCCAGCTATCATACTATCACCCTCTGTCCTATGACTGGAAGCCTCTCTCTGATGACGCAACTCCATCTTCAATGTCATGGCTGTTGGGATTGGCTGATTTTGCGGCCCAGAGGGATGGACTTGCTGTTGCTGGGGAAACCTTAAGAGTAGTGGTGGTTCTCATGAAACATTTCCTTGAGTTAAGTCTACTGGGAAGAGGCTGCTAGCCATGCAGTGAGTGGCTTTCATAGTATTCATTTTACTATTAAAACATGTGCGTATTGGAATGCAATGTTGTGTCAAAATGTCAATTCAATCGTCCGACTACTTTTCGAGTTTTGCAAGTACAAATATACGCAGGCTGAGATTATATAGAGAGAGATGACATAGTAAAATAGTGTCCCTAATATGCAATGTATTTTTATTTATTTTAAAGTTTGTTTTTAGGATTTTTCAAAATATGAACATATTTTCAAGCCATGGATGATTGATTTCATAGATATGGCAAACTTCTGCTTTCTCTCTCTTTACAAAAGAGACTCAAAGCAGGTACTGTTACTACTTTCTGTTACTAGTCTTTATTTTTGCGTGGAGTTTTGTGAATGTAAACCTCCTCGGTGGTTTTAATTCACAGGTACATTGATTGGGCAATGCTCCATATACCTGAAACCCACATGTATCCCTTTAAAAGGACATACAGAGACTATGGGTGTGTATTGTATTGGGTGTGTCGGTGTAATATCAGGTGGAGAGATGCACAAAACATTTGGAGCAGCTACTTACGCAATTAGAAACATTGCAACATGCATTTTCCCCTTGCTCACAGGTGCTTCAGATGTGTAAATAAATATTTGCATTGCCAGTTACGTTGCTCACAGAAATAGCCTGTTCCCTTGCAGATTTTTAAGCAAATGGGCAAAGGAACTAAATAACACTTTTAGAGTTTATTATTTATTTATTTATTTATTTATTTACTTCATTTATATACTGCTTTTCTCAGCCCTTGGGCGACTCAAAGTGGTTAACAATAGCAAAATTCAATGCTCAACATCATAAAAAGAGTTAAAAAAACAGTTAAAAACAATGATATAATAAACAATCAGTTAAACATAACTATAACATCTCATTATCTATGTGGGGTTGCCTCTGAAGACTGTTCAGAAGCTTCAACTAGTCCAACAAGCGGCAGCCAGACTCTAACAGGAGCTGGGTACAGAGATCATATGACCCCTCTGTTACGCCAGCTCCACTGGCTGCCGTTTAGCTTCCGGGCACAATTCAAAGTGCTGGTTTTGACCTATAAAGCCCTAAACGACTCCGGCCCAGTTTACCTGTCCGAACCTGTCCCCTATGAACCATCAAGATTAGTAAGATCTTCCGGGGGGACCCTGCTCTCGGTCCCACCTCCTTCGCAATTGTGTCTGGTGGGAACGAGGGACAGGGCCTTCTCGGTGGTGGCTCCCCGGCTTTGGAACTCCCACTAGAGATCAGATCTGCTCCCTCCCTCCTGACTTTCAGGAAACTAATAAAGACCTGGCTGTGGAATGTGGCTTTTAAGGACTGATCTCATAACCTTCGTCCACATGGAAGGAGGAGGATGAACTGTGACTATGACTGTGATTGTATGACAATTTGGCTTGGGTAATGAGATGATGATGTTTTTACTGTATGATTTTAATCTGTAATGTTGATGTACTTTGTTTTTGTATATTATTGTAATTTGCATATATGCTGTAAACCGGCCTGAGTCCCTCGTTGAGGTGAGAAGACTGGTATAGAAAACTTCTAAATAAATAAATAAATAAATAAATAAATAAATAAATAAAATAATTAGCGTCTCATAGGTAGAATCAAGATCCAATCTCATAATCCGTTGTTCCATGTTCCTATATTCAATACACTAGTATTGTCATTCTAGTTCATGTCCTTTAAACTCTACAAACATCTACTGTCCGAAGGCCTGGTTCCAAAGCCATGATTTTAATTTCTTTCTGAGAGCCAGGAGGGAGGGAGCAGATCTTATCTCATTTGGGAGTGTGTTTCATAGGCGAGGGGCCACTGCCGAGAAGGCCCTCTCTCTCGTCCCTGCCAGACGCATTTGCGCAATTGACGGGAGTGAAAGCAGGGCCTCCTCGGATGATCTTAGATTACGAGATGGGACGTAGGGGTGGATGCGTTCGGACAAGTAAGCTGGGCCAGAACCGTATAGAGCTTTATAGGTCAAAACCAGCACTTTGAACTGGGCTCAGAGATGGACTGGCAGCCAGTGAAGCTGGCACAACAGGGGGGGTTTCAAGAAGATGGGAAAAAAAGATATTTGGCTAGCACACATTCTGCTGCCGTTTGTGTGAAATGACAGATGCCACACTGGAAGCAAGTAGGAAGATGCAGAAATGCCTTCGCTTCTGGTTCTTGCTTTCCTTTGTCATGTTTGAAGTCAGAGTTTTGCATCTCTTTCCCAATGGGAATCCATTTCCTATTAAATGAAGAGCACGTGAGTCTCTCCGCAGGGAAAATAGAGATGAGGATGTTACAGTTTGGACCTGCAGAGAAACAGAATGCATGACGGGTTTGTACAACCTGTTCTTCTTATATCAATGCTACATTCAAAGTTACTCTGGGTTGCCTTTCCCGAAAGTTAAAAACAAGAATAGCAGCAAAACAACTGATTACGTGGAATATGCCATTAAATAGAGATAGGGCATCAGTGTTAAATGATTGGCAAGCCAGTCAAAATCCACTTCGGAGACAAATCAGCCAGCATTATCCACCTGTATGCAGTTACATAACATGATATGGTCCTGTTTTCTCATTCATATTTGTGAATCTAGTTCTTAATTTTTATCTTCCTGTTCAGGTGTCATGGAAAAACTGGGTCTTTCTCCAGATCTCCTCCTTCAGGATAACCCCAGACTCATCTATGCCAGGTTAACTGGATTTGGCCAAGCAGGAAAATACGCCCCATTGGCAGGTCACGATATCAACTATTTGGCGGTCTCAGGTATGCAGGCACATATATATATACATTTAGATGTGTTTTATAATTTGGCAGTGCTAAATCTTCTGTATTTGTCCAACTGAGATAACGAATCCTGACATCAGCATTTTGGCATGTTGCTAAAGTTTTCTGGAGCTCTGACCTATGGACCTCAGAGTCCATCTGAAATGGTTGTTACTGAAAATGGTTTGGGTTACGATCCTATTCATACTTTCCTAGAAATAACACTGACCAATACACATGTTGGTGCCTCAAATGTGAGACCTGTTGCTGGGTATATTTGACCTGCTGATTCCAAAAATGGCACCAGTTCACCCGTATCAGCTCTAATTTGTGAAATACAGAACTTATGCCATCTACCAGTCTCCATCTGCTTTCCTCCAGTGGTGCAATGGGTTAAACCCTTGTGCCGGCAGGACTGCTGACTGAAAGGTTGGTGGTTCGAATCCGGTGAGTGGGGTAAGCTCCCGTCTGTCAACTCCAGCTTCCCTTGCGGGGACATGAGAGAAGCCTCCCACAGGTTGGTGAAACATCTGGGCAACGTCCTTGCAGACGGCCAATTCTCTCACACCAGAAGTGACTTGCAGTTTCTCAAGTCGCTCCTGACATAAAAAAAAAAAATTCTGTTCGACCATACAAAATTGTAATAACCAAAGCTAAGATACTAGAGCTGAAGCAGTTCTATCCAATGCGATTTTTTAAATCAGCGCCCCAAATAACCCAGGAACAGCCCTAAAAACCAAGACACCAAGAAATTATTTTGTTGGGCTGTGTAATCTATTGAAATTTACTTTTAGTGGGACTTACTTCCAAGTACTTTTACATAACCTTGCACTGCTCCCCCTCCCCACGTCAGTTTTTAGGACTCAAGGAAATCTGCCAAATGAAATCAATAAGTAAATGCTCAAGATATGAAATATATGAAAACGTATAAACAGAGTTGATAATATAACTAATATAACTAACTAGCCCATTATGATCAGCTCGTTATTAAATATCTCAGAGGACAATGCAAGTAGGTCTCTGTCGATGCCATTAATTAATGGGAAAAGTTTGCCTTTCCCCAAAGGACTGAATAGCATTCAGGCATTTGACAACAGTTTAAAGACTGTGTTTTGTTCACTGGTGGGAATAATACATTGTGTGAGGACATTGGAGAGCTGAGGCACTCCATCTGTGGGATATCTTCCACTTGGAGGCCCAATTCATGCTGATACCAGCTACCTTCTGGTGCCAAGTTAAAACATGGCCTCATATCAGAAGCATTGAGATGGAATGAATTTGCCCAAATCTATGCGTATGAACAGTGTTAAGCTTTTGCAATTTGTTCCTATCTATCTATCTATCTATCTATCTATCTATCTATCTATCTATCTATCTATCTATCTATCTATATATCTACCTATCCACATAATAAACAAGTGACATTGCAGATTATCGAGAGCACCATGAACCTGTACAAGAGCCCTGCCAATGTCCCCCACAAACACAATGCCGCCCACTACCCAAGTGAAGGCTTTTATTCGGGGACACTTTCATCCCAGAGTTCATGTGTTTCCACCACCACAGACATCTCAGTGTTTCTTACTTTCTCCATTGGTGTGGAATTTGCATGACCCCACCCACTGCCTCTCCCTTGACCCTGTCCTATTCTTTTCTATGGCACACAGCAAATAGAGGAATTGATCAGCAATTGAACATACTAGAGAGATTTGGGGAGAATTAACCATGATTTTGTAGGAGTTGTAGGTACTAGGACGTATAGTTCACCTGCAGTCTAAGAGCACTCTAAACTCCACCAATGATGGACCTGGAACTAACTTGGCACACAGAACCTCCATGACCAACAAAAATGCTGAAGGTCTTTGGAGGGATTTATAGGAGTTGTAGTTCACCTACATCCAGAGTGCACTATGAACATAAACAATGATGGATCTGGACACACATACCCAATATTCCAAATCTGAATACTGGTGGGTTTTAAGGGGAATTGGCCTGGGCATTTTGAAGTTGTAGATACTGGGATGTATAGTTCACCTGCAATTAATGAGCATTCCGAACTCCACCAAAGATGGAACTGGACCAAACTGGACACACAGAGCCCCCATGACCATCAAAAAGTACTGGAGGTCTTTGGGGAAAATTCACCTTGATTTGGGGGAGTTGTAGTTCACCTACATCCAGAGACCACTGTGAACCCAAACACCAATGGATCTGGACTATTACTGGAGGAGTTTGGGGTGGGGAGGGGAACAGGAGTGACCTTCCCTTCTAGGTGTTGTAGTTCAACCACAACCAGAGGAACTGTGACCTCTACTGATGATGGACCTTGTCCAAACTTGGCACACAGAACCCCCATGACTAACTCAACCTACTGTTGGGGTTTGAGGGGACGGACTCACCATAGTAGGAGTTGTAGTTTACCCCACAGCCAGAGAGCACACTGAACCATCTGATGCATCTAGAGCAGACTTGCCCGACATAACAAATTTTAAGTATGGCTGGAGTTAACCTGGCATGATGAGAGTTGTAGTTCACCCACAACCTTACGCATTTTGTACAATTAAAAATTGACTTTTTCAAATAATCCTGGCAACACCGGGTACACAAGCTAGTTTTCAATATTCTTTAGTAGATGGTTCAAATTATTCCATAATGTTTTCAATTTTTTTACATTGTCCTAAACAATTTTAAACTGATTCCATACATACACTGCCCTGATATCTTTTGATATAGGATGGATATTCTAAGAAATAAATGATAAGTATCAATCTCCACAGGTCCCTCACTGTTGGTTGACTTTGGGCTACATGCAATACAGTTTATAGGAAGCTGTTCTATAAGTTTGAGCGCCTGTTTTGAAGTGTTGCCTAACAATATTGTAAATGGATTCAGTTGTATAATCAGATCTGTAATTTTCCCAATTTTACTGAAGAGCAGGATTACCATACATGGGAAAATATACAACTTCTGTTTCTACTGTGCCAATCCAAAAGAGCTGAGAGACAATTGGATATATTTTTGATGTTTTGATGGGAATGTAATACCATCCATGCATAATAACATCCTCCCATGAATTAACATCGAATATAGTCTAGTGTGTCTGTACAGGTACTTTTCCACCATTCTTGAAACACTTCTGTGCCAGTTGTAACCCCTAAAAACAGAAGGCTATTATTTCCAAGGCTATACAATACATTTTGAAAACTACACGTTTTTCAAATGGAATATAATCTCTAGAGACAGCAATTATGCCAGGTACTTTCTGAACATCATTCTTGATCTGAAAGTTCCAGGAAAATGAGAAATACAAAATTGCATTCCTTTGGGTCAATTGAACACATGACACAAACTATAAAACTGGTCAGATTGACCTTTAACTCGAGCAAATATAGATATATCTTAGGTAATGAAGTAGAAGTGTTCCTGGGCATTCGTTTTTAACATACAGTGTAGGGCCGGAGGCAGAAGTAACATGGATAGAATAAGGATATGTTCCTGATTCACATAAAAGAAGTTCATTTCAATATGTTTTAGAAAGCTTTTAACCCAAAATTTATTTATTTCATGTCAAAAGCATTGCATAAAAGAGTTTTATCTATTTTATACTGATAAAATGAAGGCATCACAAGCTGCTAGATAGTTTTAGACCAAAAACGAGCAACAGCAACTGCATTGTTTGTAACGTTTAACAATTCTTTTTCTGTTCATGAGGCAGGACATTGTGGGCAAGCATACAGTTGCTGAGTTGTTTGTTCTGCTTCACAATCACACAAAGTGGAGGATTCTTCTAGGTACTGTCATTTTGCCAGGTTGTCTTTTGATCTGCCAACTCCACCATTGTTGGTTTGCCCTGGCAGGCAGACCCTCTTGCAAGGCCACCATCTTGGAATTGACTTATTTAGCTGCCCACAGAGATACTCTTGCTCTTGGTGGAGGAACATTTAGAGGAGTAGTGGTTCTCATGAAACTTTTCCTTGATTTAAGTCTATTTGATAGGAGGTTGATAGCCATACAGCGGGTGGGGGGGGGGGGGGGGTGCCCTGCTAGCTTCTAAAGTCTATCAACAGGTGTAGGTTTAAGACACGTGATTATTCTACCTGTCTCTCTATATTCACCCATTTTGCATGGGCAGACTGAGTATGCCTGCCAGACGGGGCAGGCATGCTCAGCAGTTGAGTAAGACAAGGCCAGGGCTGTTGTTCTTATTAATTTTGGGTCTGCATCACATGCACTATTAGTAAGTTTCCTCAGGATCTTATTGCCTGAAGCTACTTCGTGCTTAGTGTTTGCACAGTGTTTCCTAAATGTCAGCATTTGGTCTAAAGTGATGCCAAGATTTTGAGGCTGGGAACTGTTCAAGCTCTTGGCCTTCCCAAGTAATCTTCAGTTTCCTGTAGGCTTTACAATAACATAGATGGAAAGCACACACCTGGGTCTTGACAGGGTTAGGCTTCAGGTGGTTACCTTTGCAGTAGTGGAGATCTTTCATGACATTAGTAAGTTGGTTTTCAGTGTTGTTCAGCCAAGGTCATCAGTGTATATAAAGCTGTTTGTGAGTGGTGGCTGTGGCTGATCGTTACTAAAGATGTTAAACAAGGTTGATGCAAGAACACTGCCTTGAGATAGACCATTATTTTGCCCCCTCCATCTACTTTTCCTTCCCTGAAACTCCACAAAGAAATAAATGTGTCAAAATTTATTTGACATGAAATAAGTAATCCAAAATTTAACAGTGTACATGTGAAATAAAACAACCAGATCAGGTAAGCCTTGCATGAATAAATAAAAACAGTTTTAATCTTCTGCAGACCTTGTTTTAAAATTGGTCTGTGGATTATTTTTTCTTTCACTATTTTGATTATACTTTGCATTTTATGGGCAACCTTAAAGTACTGTGTTTTTTTAATATGCTAGTAAATCAGACTTACCTTCTCTCTCCCTCTCCCCCCCCCCCCGCATTACTTGACACTAGAAACAGTGTGGATCAGGCATGGTCAAACTTTGGCCCTCCAGGTGTTTGGACTTCAACTCCCACAACTTCTCTAACAGCCTACCAGCTGTTATGAGTTGTGGGAGTTGAAGTCCAAAATACACGGAGGGCTGAAGTTTGCCCATGCTGTTTTGGAGACAGCTGCTGTTTAACTTGCCAGTTGTATTACTATGATTCTGTCCTGTTTTCTGGAAGGTCTCTATAGAGGCTTTTGTTTTTAAAAATGATTAGGAAACACATAGAATTATATAGAGTTGGAAGAGTGCCATTATTATGTTGTCTGTGTATTTAAAAATATACTTAATTTCATATAGGTGTTTTGTCAAGGCTGGGCAGAAAAGATGAAAATCCTTATGCTCCAACCAATGTTCTGGCTGATTTTGCTGGTGGCGGTGTCATGTGTGCAATGGGCATCCTTCTGGCACTCCATGAACGCACTAAATCTGGAAAAGGACAAGTCATTGATGCAAGTATGGTAAGTTGAAAAGCAAACAAAGTGCAGACTCTTAAAAGGCAAATGGAACAGTGTGCACTTGGAAATAAGAGTCTGATATGGCCCTGTATTCTAGTAACCTGTATTTTAATCCAGTTCTGATTGTAATCTGCAGCCCTTTTTTCTGGCACAACTGTACTTAATACTACTATCCAAACTCAAAGACAATATTATAAAATCTTCTGAATTTTAAAAAAAGTTCAGGAAGTTTTTGGAAGTAACTGACAGAACCACAAAAGAATGTCTTGCCAGATTAGGGCAGTGTTTCTCAACCTGGGGGGGTCACAAGGGATGCTTCATTGGGGTTGCCAAAGACCATCAGAAAATGCATATTTCTGATGGTCTTGGGAACCCCTTTGGCAGAAAAGGCTGAAGATTTCTTCTCTTTCTTCTCTTTTCAAGTCATTGAATCTGAAACCACATCGGTTGTCTTTCAGAGGACCTGTGGCTTCTTTGTGTAGTCTGACATTGAATGATGTTAAAACAGCTTTAAAATAATGGGTCACGAAGCAAAACCCTGAATTTTTCCAAAATGGATTTGATGCCTGGTTTAAACAATGGTGCAAATCTGTACAAATTGATGGTGACTATATTTATTTTATTTATATAAATTTATTTATTTTATTTATATTATAATATATATATAGAGCCGGAGCCGATTGGATGGCGCGCGGAGGCCGGTTGTAAGGGTGAGCGCGCGCTTCCTGCAACACAGCTGGGAGGAGGAGGAGGAGGAGGAGGGCGCAGGAGCCGGAGCCGATTGGATGGCGCGCGGAGGCCGGTTGGATGGCGCGCAGAGGCGCGGAGGCCCCGCCCGCCCCATTTACAAAATGGGCGAAAGCTCGTAAATACTGTGGGAGTTGCCGTTTCGATATTTAAAAACCCTTCCGGGTTTGGAAATATGTTTTGTTATCGTACCGTAAATGCAAAAATTAACGAATGTTTAACGAATAACGAAATTAACGAACGAAACCGCACAGGCCTAATATATATATATATATAATTTATATTATATCTAAAATATAAATTAAAATAAATAAATAAATAATGGTGCAAATCTGTACTCTGTACAAATTGATGGTGACTATGTTGAATAGTAGTTTTGTGTAGAGGATAGTTCAGGCTATGATCTGTAGCAACTTCTGCTCTTATATGTTCATTTATAAGGTTATGTCACAGGAGGCAAAACTTGTTGACCCACCCACGCACATTCTACACATTATATATTTACATTACAATTCATAACAGTAGTAAAATTACAGTTATGAAGTAGCAACGAAAAAAAATTTATGGTTGGGGGTCAGCACAACATGAAGAACTGTATTAAGGGGCTGCGGCATTAGAAAGATTGAGAAACACTGAATTGGGGTGTTTACTTGAGTGGCAGGAAGAATGCCTAGCGGAGAAATGCTGCTATTACTATTAACAGTATATTTCCATGTTGTTTTACCCTTTTAAGATGAATTTTGAATGTGTTTTTAAGGTAGAAGGTGCAGCATACCTCAGCTCTTTTCTCTGGAAAGCACAAAAAATAGGCCTTTGGGCCAGACCTCGTGGGGAGAACCTTCTGGACAGTGGAGCCCCTTTCTATGAAACATATAAGACCTCGGATGGGAAATACATGGCTGTCGGTGCTCTTGAACCACAATTTTACAAGCAGTTCATAATTGGTAAGTTGGTTTACATCACACTAGTTTTGTGAAAGAAAAAGACTTTGGGTTTTATGTTTTAAACACATATGTGAATATTATTAGTATAACATTGCCAGCATTTCAACATGCAAGTTATTTATTTATTGTATCAGAAGTGAACCAAGGGTACAGTTGTAATGTACCGTATATACTCGAGTATAAGCCAACCCGAATATAAGCCGAGGCACCTAATTTTACCACAAAAAACTGGAAAAACTTATTGACTCGAATATAAGCCGAGGGTGAGAAATGCAGCAGCTCCTGGCATATTCAAAATAAAAATAGATACCAATAAAATTACATTCATTGAGGTATCCATAGGGTCAACGTTATGGAATACCTACATAAAACTGTAATTTAAGTTAAGACTGTCCAACTCTGATTAAACCATTATTCTAATCTTCTTCAATGTAAATGTGCTTAGTGCTTATGCATTCTTCCAATAATAATAGAGTAAAATAAAAAATGTAATAAAAATAATAATGATAGAGTGAAATAATGGAAATGTAATAATAGCAGTAATAATAGAGTAAAATAATAAATGTAATAATAATCATAATAAGAGAGTAAAATAATAACCAATTTTGACTCAAGTATAAGCCGAGGGGGATTTTTTCAGCCCAAAAAAAGGGCTGAAAAACTAGGCTTATACTCGAATATATACAGTATTTAAAAACACACACACAGAGACACAAAAACAACTTGGCATTATACTAAATGTTTGTTGACTAGTAGCTGGCCACTTGGATAGAATACTGGCTACCAGTATTTTTTAAAAAAATCTAAAATCATAACAGTAAATAAAGACCAACACTCAAAAACAGGAACTCCAGACAAGAAACATCCCTAATCACCTCTCAATAAAGTATTCCCTCAGGCAGTAAGAAGCCAAACCTTGAAACTGCTAGGCCATTAAATGCAAATCAAGGTGGCCAATTGAAACATTTACATCTACCTCCAACAGACAAGAGTTCTTTCTTCTACTCTTGACATTCCACAGATATATAAAACACCATTTTCCTAGTTCCCAACAGACCTCACAATCTCTGAGGATATCTGCCATAGATGCAGGTGAAAGGTCAGGAGAGAATGCTTCTGGAATATGGCAATACAACCTGAAAAACTTACAACAACCCACCAATATTTCTGTTATTTAAACAACTGAGCTTCATGCCCACCTCCTGTAAAACATCTGTTTTAAATATTAGTTCTTTGTTGTTTTTAGAATATTAAAATCGCTTATGTGCTAGCCCAATTCATAAGCATTATACTTACAGCACTTTTGGGCATTTTTCTCCTTCAAAGTAAAGCTTTCAGTTAATTACATTTTAAATGATAAAATGAACGACTGCAAAGTAATTAATGTTTTATATGAGTGTAGGCTGAGGACATTGTCCTAATTCATGTTTATTTAATAGAAGTAATAAAAGAGAATAGGAAGAGGACTCAGTTGTCCTGTGCTTAGTTCTGTGCTTACTTCAAATGGAGCCATTCTTGTACATCAAGGAAAATGTATTTCAAAGCCTTTCAAAGGTTTACATACTAGAGGACAGGCTAATACAGGAATGCTGCTTGACAACTTCTGTCAAATCTCATTTCCATTTCATTTCTTAGAATCATAGAATCATAGAATCAAAAGTTCTTCACTCAGTCTTCCTTCGTCCATCTCTCACATCCGTAGGTTACTATGGGGAATGCCATTGCTTTAACTATGCGGATGTTCATTGCCAGTATGATGTCTCTACTCTTCACTATTTTAGCGAGATTGGTCATTGCTCTCCTCCCAAGAAGTAAACGTCTTCTGATTTCCTGGCTTCAGTCTGCATCTGCAGTAATCTTTGCACCTAGAAATACAAAGTCTGTCACTGTGGAATTGTATGACTCTGCCCACTGCCTCTCCCATGACCCTTTGTGTGACCCCACTCACTGCCTCTCCCATAACCCTTTCCTATGGCACACAGCAAACAGAGGAATTGATCAGCAACGCAACATTCTGTAGGTGGTTGGGGGACTGACTCTTCTGGATTTCTCTTATCGAGTATTTAATCCAGTCAACCCTGCTTAAAATCTTAGCCAGGGTTGAACAAGTGTGAGGGATGGAGGACAAGTGTGGGATGGCTGTTTATAAACTTAAAGATAACTATCATGTCACCTTTATGTCTACAAGCTAAACCTACAAAGCTTCCTAAGCTGTCCCTCTTGGGGCCTGGTTTCCAAACCTTTGGTTGATCTTTTATGGCTCTGTAGAGGGACAGAATAGTGAGGAGCCAGTAGCTGTCATGCACAGCCAAGATAAAATACTTGTGATTTAACACATCCTCTGAAAATAAGCATTTGCTTTATCAACAGAATGGAAATTTCCATGAGAGTAATATATGTTTTAATGTCTTTTGGCATAATATTTAATGATGCTTTAATTGTTGCTGCTGCACCCATGAAAGGACAGTTTTCAGTTATACCATTCCATTTTTTTTCTCACTCTCTGTAAATATACACTATAATATTTATTCATGGGCTATTGGGCTATGTTTATATTATAGCTGGCTTTGCTTTCTTTTGGTTCAATGTTTTCATGGCCAACTCTACTCAGTAATTCTGTATAAGTAGTTTAGCCCGTACTTAAATACATTTGGGGACAGTTGGCTATTCCTAAAAATATTGAGGCATCCCTATTTTGTCACATTTAGACTATCTCTCATGATTGGTTTTGAGAACAATGACTACTTGCACAAAGTGACAAAAGTCATTTGCAAAAATAATACAGCTGTGCAGAGCTCTAATGCTCTCTAAGGGCCCTTCCAAACAGTCATATATCCCTGGATATGATCCCAGATTTTCTGTTTCAAACTGGATTATGAGTCCCCACTGCTAGATAATCTGGGATAAACAGAAAACCTGCGATCAGATCCTGGAATATAGGGCCGGTCTGGAAGGACGCTAAAACAGGTGTGAAAATTATTTGGTCCTCCAGATTATGTTGAATAGTAGAAGCCTTAGTCACCATAGCCAATGATTAGGAATACTGAGAACTTCAGTCTAGCAACATGTGGGATGCTATGCTGTTCCTATATCTGCTCTAGATGACTAAACTGCATCTGAAGAATCAGTGTTCAAAGTGATTGAAAGTTTTGGAACACTGACTTGGTTTGGAGTAATCCAGCATGAAAAGAAGGGTTTGAGTTGTAGACTATGACTCTGGAGAAACAGGGTTTCAATCCCCTCCTTGGCCATGAAAATCCATGTGTTTGAGCACATCACACACTCTTAGCCTCAAAAAACAAAACAAAAACACTCCATAGATTTGCCTTAGAGTTGAAATTGATTTGAAGGACACAGCAGCAACAGCAACAACAAATGATTAACAAGATTGTAGATAGGTATGGGGATCCAGATCAGATTCCACAATTTTATGGACTACAAATATAGTGAATAGGTCCTATTAGGTGATACTGCCATGCAGTGGCTCAGAGAATTACTGTGCAGTACATTCGTATTTAAGACCTCAACGGCAAGAAGGATATTATTAACCAAACAGTGTAAGCCCACAGCAAGCTAACTTGATACCTTCGGGAAAAGGAAATGGCAACTCTGGTAGTCTTGGAGGAAAGATCAAAATTATTTTGTGTAGGTTCAGGACAATGCATCACAAATGCCATAATCTAACTTCTGTGCTGCCACAAATAGAACAGCACAGACAACTAATCTCATCTGTCTTGGAAATGGGGAAGACAGGAATGGTGCCAGGAGGGGCCTTAGTGCTGCAGAAGTTGAAAGCATTACAAGAGTTCTGCGGTGCCTTATAATGGCATAGGAGCATAGTGTCTAGGTCCAAGGAAGTAATGCTACCCCTCTATTCCGCTTTGGTTAGACCACACCTGGAATATTGTGTCCAATTCTGGGCACCACAATTCAAGAGAGATATTGACAAGCTGGAATGTGTCCAGAGGAGGGCGACTAAAATGATCAAGGGTCTGGAGAACAAGACCTATGAGGAGTGGCTTAAGGAGCTGGGCATGTTTAGCCTGAAGAAGAGAAGGATGAGAGGAGATATGATAGCCATGTATAAATATGTGAGAGGAAGCCACAGGGAGGAGGGAGCAAACTTGTTTTCTGCTTCCTTGGAGACTAGGACGCAGAACAATGGCTTCAAACTACAAGAGAGGAGATTCCATCTGAACATGAGGAAGAACTTCCTGACTGTGAGAGCCGTTCAGCAGTGGAACTCTCTGCCCCGGAGTGTGGTGGAGGCTCCTTCTTTGGAAGCTTTTAAACAGAGGCTGGATGGCCATCTGTCAGGGGTGATTTGAATGCAATATTCCTGCTTCTTGGCAGGGGGTTGGATTGAATGGCCCTTGAGGTCTCTTCCAACTTTTTGATTCTATGATTCTATGACAATAGCTGTGTATGATTTCCATAAGCAAGCTCTTATACTCTATTCACTTGGTGAACTGAACCAGTGTGATGCTACTCTATATACTCATGTATACATCTAGAAATTTTAGTCAAAAACTAACCCCCAAAACCTGGATTCACTTATCTACCAATCAGTGTGAATATTGTACCTTAACCTTTACAAAAAAAGGAACAGTTCGCTATTATGAGTAGAGTCGCGAAAGACAATAGCTTAGTCCATCCCCAGTGAACCTAAAAGAAGCAGTTATCCTCTCAACTCTATCTACTGTGGTTCTACTTTTGCCTTTTTTTAATGCCTGGGCAGGGAAATGGCAGCAATGGCCAGGGATGGTTGGTCTCCTCAGTCAGCACCGGTGCTTTCCCTCTCTGTGGAATGACCCCAAACTTATTCATCAACCATATCAAAATCCATAATTTTAGCCCCAAAACCTGTCTTGACAATATACCTGATGTTGATTTATATGTGAATATATATGGTGGAGCCCCCGGTGGCACAGTGGGTTAAACCACTGAGCTACTAAGGTTGTTGACCGAAAGGTTGCAGGTTCGAATCCAGGGAGCGGCGT